ATATATATATATATATATATAACATAATGGAAAAAGGAACAATTGATCAAATCTTGCTTAAAAGCAAGACTTAATCAATCATTTCATTAAGGAGTTATATCACCCTGACAAGATCTAAAATAAGCATAAATTTAATAAATTGAATGATTTTTTAAAGTTAACTATTGCGTGGAATTAATTTCCATTTTAAAGATATATTATACAATGACATCTTAAGCAAGGTAAAATCAGGCCGTGAGTTATAATTACAGCTTATATCTACTATATCGAGTGATTACAAAGAAATAGATTAATATCGTAATCACAAAAGATTTAGACTTCTTATTGGATTAATCATTAATTTTTTATAATCTATGTGGTCAATGAGTCGAGAGATAAAATTAATTCTTATAAATCATGTATCAGATTTGTTCTTACCGTTATTTGTATCCAAGCTGTTCAGTCTTCTGATTTCATCGAATAGAGTAGTGTTGGTACTTTATTCCTGCTTTTTATGCCCAATGCTCGATTTAAAATGAATTAGAACGATTTAATATGATTTAGAACGTGTCGCAATATGTGATGAAAAATAAATATAATTTGTATATTATTATTCGCAGAAATCCTTCCGGCGGTTCAGGTCTCAGCGAAACTGGATCCCTGGATCGTGCTAAGGCTGCGCTAGAGCGTAGAAAAAAAGCGGAGGATGGTGCTGGTAATCCTATCCTCTGTAGAGTTGAAGTCACCAGGCCGAATCCTGATTCTCTTATCGACGAACTGCTTAAAGCAACGAATTTGGAGCAGACGGATCTTGAAAGTTCCGAGAGTATGTTTTTCTTCTAATATTATATATATTTATTGTATTTATTATATCCATTAAAAAATGATAGTTACAGAAAATAGAATGGAGAATTTTGCGTCTTTTGTTCAATTGGTTTTTTTCTTGATTTTCTACGCTGGAAAGTAAGAATAATCGGAAAAAAAGATTATGAATTTTATAAATAAATAAATATTTACATTTTGCAGCAACTGGTCTTCAACTCTTTATTGCGAAAGACGGCACGACCGCGCTTGGTAGTCATGAGGTAAAGAGTCAGATGCCTGCCGGCGTGTTCAAGCAAGTGGTAATGGAAGAGAACAACAGGTAACACGAAGCCATCACCACAAGACGGCAGTACGCAAGACAGGCCAGTGCCACGTTCTCGTTGGCTCTGGTGCCAGAGCTCGTCTATGAGGCCTACGAGCCGCGGTAGTTACAAGAGATGACGATATGAATGAGGAAAGAAATCATCGACTTGGGAGGAGCGGCCAAACGCGATACGAAGTATCCTCGCTAGATCGTTCTACACTGTATATCTCCTCCATATAAAAAAAAATCGCGCCTCTGAATAGTCGAACTAATATTCATCGAAGTAGTATGTTCGAGTTGATTACTTCGTGTGAAATTCATTGTACGGATTCGCAAGACCGAGGCTGATATTCATGTCATAAGTGCACATTTAAATGTGAATAATCAAACAGTCACATGCAGCTTGCAAGATTGATAATTGCATTTTAACACTCGATCCTCCAAGATCATTTTCATACGTGGATTTTCCGTTTTCCAAAATCCCGTACAACGAACGAAATCTATGTACAGTGTTGCTGTTCATGACGAACGACCTCAGCTGCGTGCACAATTTAAGGACGATATTAAATAAATACATGTTTTCGGAACTATTTCAAAAAAACAGATATACGTATTTTCTTCCTTGTAAACGAAGCATAATAATTTCCGTCAAACGTGCTTCGCTTAAAAGGAAAGTGTTAGCCCGGTTCCACCAATGTAAGATTTTAATCTCCGTTCAATTTACTCTTTATCTTTTTCTAATTCTAAGAAACTTTCTAATTTTTCTAATAATTAAAATAGGGTAAACAGTAAGTTAAATCGAGATTAATGTTAATTAATCTTACATTGGTAGAACTAGGTCTTGATCAATAAAGTTTAACCGAGAGAAAGTACAGAGCGTAGTAAAGAAGTATAGTTACAGAAAAATAATGACAGGTAAAACACGGTCAAGGTCCGACGAAACTTCGCAATGGGAAGTAACATCGAGCAAAACTTAAGCGCCAATTTTATTTATGCATCTACAGCAATACTACAGCGATATAATATTGTTAATGTGAACGTACACTATAAAACGACTTGTGAAGTTAGCGTGAAAAGAAATATCAAATTGAGACATTAAATATCTTGACATGAAATATCTTTATATGAAAGTATTCTTGACAGCGTTTCCGACAATATTAATCAAATAGAGAATGTTTTCCCAAGATGATTCGAAATGATTTCTAGGAGAGGCATCTCGAGGAAATTACATTCTACCAATATCTTGCTTTTAAATTATAATTTTATTATTTCTGCTTATTACAGTTTATTTTGCTTCATATTATAGCATATATTTTTTTATCATTTCTGATTATTTTCTGTTGTGCTCTTTTATCGTTTACGACATCCTCATATGTAATTAATCTAAAAGTGCGTTTAAATAGTACACTAAAGAAACCAGTTTGAATAAACAAATTAGTCAGTTAGAGAGACAGAGAGAGAAAAATATAAATTTATAATTTTAAAAATATTGCGGGTTGCGTTTGTGGAACTATGAAAGCGTAAATCTATAATTTATATATAAATGTATTATTGTTTTCAAGTAACTTTGCCTTGAAAACGACATAATTTTGACTTCCTGAACAATTCCGTTTCGTGATCTGTAATATTTCTAAAGAAATCGATTTACTTTTTTTTTCAATAGAAATAAAGTTGAAGATATTTTTTTGTATAATATAAATATTTTGCGACTGAATACATACATACACACATATACACACAATACATACATACTCATATATATATATATATATATATATATAACATGCACAAAGTGTTTACTAAAAAGCATTTATATGGTAGATAGTACACACTATACTGACAAGAATAAAAAAAACCTTATAAGTCGAAAATTGAATTGTTTTTCAGATATAAACAGTTTTATATGTTAATATCATAACTGACTTATTGTATTTTTACGTGTCGCATGTAACGTAAAGATTTACTTCAGTGTTTACAAATTGAGAATATTTTCTGAATGTAACAATCAATTTTCATACATATTTTTTAAAGATTTCAGTAGGAATCAATTGACATCAACCAGCGATTGTAATTGAATAGGCAATATAATAAGAGAGAATACCTGGACCTGTAATTCTCCCAAATAGGCTATCAGGTGCTATTTATCTCAATTTCTTTCTTTCCATATTACATGCGACACATTGTAGGAGCCAATATACTAACACACAAAATTGTTTATATCTCAGAAAAGATTCAGACTTATGTTTACTAAAGCTTTTTCCTCAGTATGGTGTATGCTATCACCATGCAAATGTTGAATGCATTTTTGTGAACATTTTGTATAGAACGTATTATTATTTTGTATTATGAAACTCGACAAAGATGAATCACCGTTTCGTCGAACCTTCTCCAAAGGCCCGTGAAGGTGAACTTGACGCGACCGGCTGTCCGGTAGTAATCTGTGTATATAGTTGTAGTAATTGTTATGTAGCTAGATCGCTGGTATTGTATACACATTCTCTCCGTACTCGAATAATCTATAATTGCTAGTATACATTGTGCAGACGTATCAAAATGACGCGAATGCGCGCGTATGCTTGTGTATATGTATATGCGTGTGCATGTGCGTGCGTATGTGTGCCTTTCTGAAGGTTTTTTGTATGTCTGCAGACGAAAGAAAGGATCGTTAAATGCGTGTGCTTAGGTATGCCTGAATCATTGCAGAGAGTAATGAGTACTTCCAGCGTCCGTGAAGCCGATTTCGGAAATTAGTCTGAGCGTTTCGGTCCTCGTGGCTAAAAGATAAGATAATGGAGTATGAAGTCGATAAAATCGCATGCACAAACGCTTCTTCAGAGCTTGCGCTCTGAAGCAATTTGCCGGTTTGATTTACCGTACTGATCTTGAACACGTTCGTGAGCGACTTCCCCCCGAGAATTTCCCATCGGGTTCCGCTCAGGATCGAGTCCGCTAATTACGCTAAACCGGGAAGACTGTAGAAACGGTGATAATCGCCGATGTTCCGGCAGCAGATTCGTATATCCGATCGTGAATCGCAGGTTTGATAATAAGCAGCCATCGCGCTGTGCGTTTTTCTTATAAATAGATCGATACGTTCCTTCCATTGTTGCGTTTCCTCTTCGTTTTGTACGTACATACGTATCTCCTTCTTCTAGATCATACCCGAGTGTCGTTCGATACTACTTCGATTTTATATGACCACGATCGTATCGTGTCACTCGAACAAGTTCCGTCGCGGCGACTTCCGGATTAACTTTCAACCGCTAAGAGATCGGACCTATTCTCATGTCATATATTTTAAAGTAACAGAAAGATTGCTCAATATACGCATACTTGCTTTATCTTAAAACAGGATTTTCAAGGATTTATAAGAAATTTCAGAGGTTTGGTAATTGTAATTTGACAAAGATAAATTTGAACACTTGGAAAAGCTTGCAATTATTTTCAAAAAAAATATGTGAAAAAAATATAGAGTATATAATTTTTCAATTAATTTAAAATTCTAATTTATTATTTTAATTATACTTATATATTTATTAGGATATATATATATACATATGTTTTTTTGTCCGTAGTTTATAATACATTTTTATTTGTTATGAGAATAGATAATATAAATAATTGGAATATAATTAGAATTATCAATTCGTTGAAAAATATAGTGCCATTTATTATCAAAATAAAAACTGAATCTATGTAGTAGTCATATTATTCATCACAGTGGTTGCAAGTTAAAACGCAAGTCGATCTACAAGCTTTCCTGCGGATGCGCGTGAGAGTTATTTTTTCATTCACCATACCGCTCGCGTACAGCTTTTTTATTTATAACATACACGTGCGACCAGATGTGATTTCTCCGTGGCGATGTCACGTTCGCCGATTGACAATTAGTTAATTTATTAAACGGAGCTTCTCGCGAAGGGACGACTCTAGTATGCGCGAGTATTTCTCTCGAGTGAGACACTAATGGTTCCTCGTTTCTTTTATTTTTTTTTTGTATATTGAGACAAAGAGGATAGATCCGATAATGTGAAAAGTGCAGACTTCATTCATTCGCTGAGTCTCTTCCTTCGCAAGAAGCCACGATCACAGATCGTTCGCTTCATTCGCTCGGCAGATATTAATGTTGTGATATTTTACGATATAGCGTAATGATAAATGCCGTTATTATCTATATTATTACGATCGAGATGTGTATTGTAAGCAAAAAATACATTATCTTTATTTTGGAAGGCGGCCGCCACTCAAGTCCGCAAGTCGCGTGCGAGGCCGCCTTTCTTTTGATTCGCAATTGTTGACATTTCGCGTCTACTTAATCTTTACTTTGTGAGACGAATACGAAACTTCCATGTGCTGATAATAACATTCTGAAAACTACTCTTGTATCATTTATTGACGAATCCTCTCCATAACGGTATGAATTAGAAAAGAACAATGCTCGCACTATTAATTGTTTCAGACTCATAGTAAAGATTTTATTAATATTAAAATATTAATACAATTTATGGTATATTTTTAATATAGTGTAATCGGTAAAAATTTTTTGACCATGGAGTTACTCAATACCACAAAATGGGAGTTACTCAATACCGACAAAATTGTCGCGGGGAGGACGTTTCGCTTTCCATAAATCGTCTAACTTTTTCCTATATAAACCAGTCTTGTTCCATTCGTCGAACCTCGCTGACCAATATTAATCTGCATTATACAAATCAAATGGGGAATAGTCTCTAATAAAACTCTAAAACATTTCACTAACGTTTGCTCGAACGAAGTTAATAGGCAACGCATTTTTAGTATACTATTCATCGGAATAAACGTGTCTTCTTTATCTCGACGAAGAAAATCATTCTAGACCTGTGCATTAATGAAATTCTTTACATGAGCAAAAAAATTATTTACACTTCACTCTATTGTATTTCTGAAATTGATCACTTCATGGTCGCGGTATCGACCATAGTTAGTATTAACAGGGAAGTAAAAGTGATTGTAATTTTTGGATTCAAAAACATGCATTATATCGCATTTATTTCGTATATCTGCCATTTTGTCGCGTTATTCTGCGTTTCTGCACAATTCCACGGTTCTAACGAGAACAATATTATTCATTTATTACCCGCCTATGCCATCGCCTCGAGAGCTAGTCTTCTCGGTTCAGCAACATGTGCAACGGAATTACGAGATTTCCTAGATGCTGTCGATCAACGAATACTGTGGGGTTTAAAAAGTAAGTAAAAATCATTCTTAATCATGATTAATTTTTTATACTTTATCGAATCGATAAAGTAAATGCAAAATCAAGAAAGTTAATCACATGTACAGTCTCGCATTTACTTCATGTTGAGTTGTTTCATTGTTCCGTTAGAGAATTAACTAAACTCCGAAACTAAATTTTGTGGCTTAATTTTATCTATGTTTATAAAAAAAATTAATCAGAGGGTTGTCAGTAATCATTTACCCAAATAGTCCATTGTACGTCCATTGGACTTCCGATTCTGGAAGTTCAACATTTATTGTGGATAGTCAACTATTGCAAGCTAATAATCATTTATATTACTATTAAAAATAATGTACTGTAGTGATTATTGCAAATAATCTCATTAATGGAATTAATAATCATTCAATATGAGAACTATTGGGGAATGATTATTGCAAATAATCTGATTTGGCATCAGTAATT